GAAGTGACCCTGGGCCACGGGCACTAGGGAGGTCCCCGCTCGGCTTCCCCAGGGTGGAGGGAGCCCCGGCCCCAAAAGCAGGGCGGGCTTCGGTTCAAATTCTGGGAGCTCAGACCCAGCATCACAGCTTCCAGCCGCAAGTCTCAGCTGGTCACCGGGCCCCTCTGGGGCAGATTCTTTGCCTTCACGGTGGGGACAATGGGCACAGCCCACTGCAAGCTGCCAAAGCAAAAACAGAACAAACAGAGAAACCACAGGCACCAGCCGGGCATGGTGGTGCACACCTGTGATCCCCGCACTCTGGGAGGCTGAGGCAGGAGGCTCACTTGTCAGTGCAAAGTAGAAACTCAGCAAAACCCTGTCTCCAGATGGAGTATTTAAAATGCTGGGCTGTGGCTCAGTGTGAAGCCTGGGGTTCACTCTCCAGCACCAGGAAGGAAAAAACTCACAACCCCGTTCTCTCCTCTGTCCCTGCGTGGGGAGCCGAGGTCTGACACTGTGGAGTTTGGCCAGCCCAGGAGACCCCCGCCTCGCCCAAGCTTCCAGGCCCAGCTATGCCCACCGTTCTGTGCCCGACATCACCTTCCCAGCGTCTCCTCTGGGGACCCCAGAGCCAGCAGGCCAGAGTCCCCACACTGTGAGGAGGGGGCGGATCTAACTCGAGGGTGCCCCTGCCCGCACCCCGCCCAGAGAGCTGCTGGTGCCCGGGGCGCATGTGATGGGTGTGAGAGGCATGGTGGGCACCCAGGCCCTCAGATCATCGTCACTGGGCAACACGAGGACCCAATCCAGCTAGGAGGGTGCAGGCCAGGGCTCCGGGACAGTGCCATGGCCAGGGTCCCCGCCCGTCATGACTGCTGGTGGACGTCATGCGTCACTGAGCTCATCTGAGGCCTGTGCTGGAGCCCAAAGGGACAGGACCGCTGTGCCCAGGCGGGAGGGCTGACCTCTGGGGAGGCGGGCAGGAGAGGGGCCATCCCAGGACGTGGCCAGGCCAGTCCCTCCATGTCCAGTTCCTCTGTTCTCCACTTCCTGGCCGCCGTGAGGCGAGCAGGCCAGGCCTCTCCACCAGACCCCAACCACACGAAGATTGCTACGCCTGTGTCCACCTCCTCCTTCAGGCTGCAGGGCTGGGCGCTACCTCAGCAGAGCAGCCCCGAACCCTAACAAACCCCGCATCACCCCAAACAGGCGCTGAGAGGCCCTCTCTCCTCTACAGATCAGGACACCCGGGGGGCCCTGATAGTTTCTGAGTTATTCCATTGTCCTCTTAGTGGGCCTCCCTCCTGGAGTCCAGGACAGCAGCAAGCAGCCACAGTGGTGGGGTCCCAGCCACTCAGTCCACGCCAAGCTGGGCCAGGACAAGTCCACCCTGCCACCTGCCAAGGACAAGGTCATTCTCCACACCCCGGGGAGGCTGAGGTCAGCAGCTGGGACCCACACACTGGGGGCTGCATCAGCTGGGGCCCTTAGGGCTGTGTGGCCCGAGCTCACCCGTGAACCAGGCAGCACCCAGCTGCACAGCAGGCCCAGGGTGGTCGCGGGGTCTCAGATGTCCCTCCCTATCCCTACTGGTCCAGATGGCCCTCCGCTGGACAGGAGCCTGGTGACAGAACCAGCGGCCAGTTCTGGTCGCAGCCCCAGACCCTCTCTCTGGGGCTCTGTGCTGTGAACTGGAGGCATCCAGGTCCCCGAAAGGCTGGAGGAGGTGCTCACAAGGACAGGCACGGGGCACACAGGCTCACCGGGTGCAGCCCTGGACCCTGCCTGGGGAACAGGCCTGGGCCAGGTTCTGCAAGACAGTGGCACATCCTGGCTCTCTGAGGACTGCAGCGGAGTTCAGGGACCATCACTGGAGGTAAGCAAATGACCGTTAGGGTCAGGAGAAAGTTAGGGCAGGAAGGACATGGTAACGGTGACTTCTGTCACTTGTGCTGGGAGCAGGGGTGAGGTGGTGAGGACTCACCAGGGCTGGGCCAGCCCCGGAGGGCAGCACTGGGGCAAAACCAGCCAGCACCCTGCGAGGGTTGAGGAGGCCACAGCAGCCCTGGGGTAAGGGGTGGAGAGAGGCAGGGCCCAGGGGAGGAGGACGGGGTGAGGGTCACACAGGCAGAGGAGGGCTTCTCGGAGGAGGAGGCCTGAGCAGAGCCCTGGACAGCAGCAAGCGGGAGGGCGGGAATAGACGGGACTGCGGTTTGTGGCCACTCCACAGGGTCCACCGCTGGGGGTCACTTCGGGAGAGACTGATGGTGACAGAGGCGCCCCAGTCTGCCCTGTCTGCCCCCCCCCCCGTCCGGCTCATGGCCAGGGCCTGGCCTCCATGTCACTGTCCCCACAGGTCCCCGTGTCAGATGGTCACGCGCACTGTGCCATCCCGCAGCTGTCCCCACCCACTGGAGTGAGCCCCACGCACTGGCCGCTCACCACATGCTTACACACTCACACATGTGTGTGCACCACACACATCCTCGCATCCCAGAGGCTGCTCAGGGGCGACCCAGCCCTGCAGCCCAGCGCCACCCCAGCCGGCCGGGACCCTGCTTCTCTCCCAGCCTGGGAAAGCTTGGCAGTGACCACGAATCCCCGTTCCCATGCTCAGTGCCCACCAGCTCCACCTCGGGGCTCCCTCATGAGGAGGGATGGTCACCTGGAGCCAGGGCCTGGGGCCGAACCCAGCACAGATGCTGACCCTGGGCCTAGGGACTGGAACCTGGCACCTGGGCCGCAGCCCCTCTGCCCTGCTCCAGGGGAGCCACAGGACATGGTGACCCAAACCTGACACCCCCACCACTGCCGGTGACGCCCAGCACCCACACCCTGGTGCTCGTGGACTCCACATACAGCCTGAGGGTATGTGACCCATGGGGTCCCCCAGAGCTCCCAAAGTCTAGTCCTGCCTGGTGACCCTGCTCCAAGGCAGGGCGAGGGGCCCTCTCTCCTGTGGCGTGGAGGGAGGTGCAGCCCACAGCAGGATCCCCAAGGAGTGGCAGCCACACAGCCACGGTCAGAAGTGGCCACACAGAAACACGCCTGGCACAGTCAAGGGCCATGCAGGGACCAGGGCACAAAAACCAGCACACGGGGCTCTGTCCCCAGAAGTAAGGCTCCTGCACCAGGGGCTCCCAGCAGACCCCAGATCCCCCTTTCTCAGGGGGACAGCAAATGGGCCAGAGGGAGTGGACAGGGAGTAGGAGGGTACAGACGGGCCCAGCTGTCACCTCCTCCTCTGCTGGCCGAGGCCAGGCAGGAGACCAAGGTCAGACGACTCCCCAGTGGGCGGAAGCAACACATTTCAGAACGCCACCATCTCAGCCACACGGTCAGGGCCACAGGACGGGGCTTAGCCAGTTCCTCAGGTTCCCAGACACACAAATCCCAACCTGCCCTCCCTGAGACGGGGTCACCTGCCTCCCGAGCCATCTCTGCCTTGTCACATATCACCATGGCGACCCCAGACCGAGGCCCCAGGCAAGGACGCACCTCCCAAAGAGGCTGTGCTCCCACAGCCACGCTGTGAGCCAGGGCCTCAGGATGGGAACTTGTTGGGATGAGGTCCCCAGTGCCACCCAAACTCAGGTGCAGCCCATAGTCTAGGGACGGTGCTGCTGCCGAACCCTAACCCCAAGCTCACCCCAAGTCAGTGGACTGCAGCATGGGAAGCAAGCCCTGGCTGGCCCCTCCCCACAGCCTACACCCGCCTGGCCTGTGGCCCACCCACACCCCAAGCATCCCCCACACCCAAGGCTTCCGGGCTGGGGTACATACAGATGGGGACAGGGAAGCTGCCCTCCAGCCACCTCTCCTGCCCGCACAGCCACTCCCCAGGGTAGGGGATGGTCAGCCTCCAGCGCCTTCCAGGAGTGACCCGGAAAGCTGCTGCCATGGCCTGACCAGCCGCTCCGCCCACACGGCTGCCCAGTGGTCAATGTCTGAACCCACCTGGTACCAGTAGGGCAGGAGGAAGTCCATGCAGGCCCGGGCTGCCGTCCTCCTCTGCCCGGCCTGATGGTCAACCCTCTGCAACTGGCCACTCCCAGACAGGATCTGACAGAGAGACCCAATGAGGCTGCTCTGGGACCGGCTGGCGTCCAATGCCACTGGCCCCTTTCTCAGGTCAGCTCCCCTCTCTCACAGCCCTGGGTGACACTCAACTTCCCCGACATGCCCGGGACAGTCTCTCACCGACAGTCCCCAGGATCCCAAAGAGCGATGGGACAGGGCAGCAGGAGGGGCCTCTGCCCCTCATCCCACCCCCTCTGCCCTCCTGGCCCCCCAGCATCCTCAGAACCAGCAAGCGCCACCAAGAGCCACCCTGCCCCACCCTCTGCCTGACTGCATCCCTCTCCGGTCCTCTGGAGCCACCAGCTCCAGGGACAGCCAGTGCGGGCTCCCGGCGGACCAGGCCAGCCACAGCTTCCTGTCACGGAGGCCTGCCAGGCCCTGCCCAGGTCCCCGGCAGGTCACCCGGGCCCCACAGCTCCAGGTGGAAACAGCTCCTGAGGGAAGAATCTCCCTGTGGAGCCGCGTGTGGGCTTGCACGCGTGCACACATCCAGCAATGCACACACATGGGCACGTACCCCTGCCCGCCGGAACACCTATCCTGACAAACCGCCAGAGTGGGACGCGGACTGACCGGCCCACCCCAGGCCTGCAGCTGGGCCTCCCTGCTGCAGATCCGGGGTCGCCGGTGCCCTGCGCCTGCCGGGCCAGGAAGGCTTTGCGGCCGACGCGGGTCCAACTCCACCGGGGTGGGGGCTTCCGAGGAGCAGGAGGCTGCAGCGGGCCGGGGCCGGGGCCGGGGACGGAGCGGTGGCCCGGCCTCCAGCCCCACCGCCGAGCCTCTCGGAGGCCGGCGCCCGCTGAAGGGCACCGCAGCCCGCGGCCGAGCAACTTCGCCGGGGCCAAGTTTGCGCTCTGCGGGGACGCGCAGCTGCAGCGGCAGGGGGCGCGGGGAGCCTTCCGTTCCGTTGCGCTCGGGGCGCGCGCACCGCGGCTCACCTCGGCCCAGCTCCAGGCCCGGGCGGCGGCGTCCGGCTACCTCCGCGGGCATCGGCGAGTCCGCTCCGCGCCGACCCGGCTAGAAACGACTCACTCACCGCCCGCAGACCGAGCGGGGAGGCGGGGCGCGCGCCGTGCAGCGGCCGCGGGGTGTCGGCGCCCACATGCGCGCACGCACACGCCAAGATGGCTCTGCCCCTCGGAGCCGCGGTCAGGAGCCGGGCGGCCGGCAGAGGGCGCAGGTCCGCCCTGCAGCCGGCCAGGCCCGGCCTCCCTCCTGGTCAGGTCAGCGGCCCCCTCACTGTCCACCACCTGGCCGCCGCCCCTCCCCCGAACTGCACGCCCCAGATGCACCAGCTGCCTAGCAACCGGCGAGGGGAGCGCTGGAGGAGTGCGTGTGTGGCCTGCACACGCACACACATTCATACACACACCCGCGTGCACACACACATACACCTGCATATGTCACACACGTGGGCATGCACTTCCCCAAATCGCAGCTGTTCTGCAGCTCCAGACCTGACCACACCGTGACACAGCTCGGCTGACCCCCGGCACCTGCAGGTGCATGGCTTTCCTAGTCCAGATGCATTTTGCCTCTGGGTTCACCTGCTGGATGGAGGCCTCCCCTAAGCCTGGGCTCTCTGGGTCCCGACTCACCCATGGAGCACATTCACCCCAACACCGAGCAGCTTGGGCAAAGGGCCTGTGCTCCCCTGTGCCTGTAGGCAGGGCCATGAGAGCCATGGCAGTGGGCGGGCAGCATCTAGCAGAGTCCCCTGACCTGCAGCAGCACCGGTCACACAGCCAGAAGCAGGAGCAACCCGGGTCCACCGAGCCACAAGTGACCAACAAGATGTGGTCTGTCCACGAGGGAAGTCGTGCTCTGCCACAAAAAGTGGCAGGGTCCAGTCACAGGCACTGGGGTGGACCTTGAGGGCATAGCGCTCTGGGAGAGATGCACCCACAGGGGGCAGCACAGGGAGATGAGGTCGCTCTTCAATGGACTCAGAGTTTACTCCAGGGTGGGGACGACTTCGTGGCCCTTGGCACTGTTAGGTCACGGTGCCTTCAGTGTCACAGGAACCAGGCCTGCAGGCCCCAGGCCAACCCTGAGCCCCGGGTGACTGCAAAGAGGCCCGCTGTCCCCCTGCAGAACAGGCCCATGTGCTAAATTTGGCGAGAAACGACCCATAGGCCTGGATTTCTGCCCTGACTTCTGGCCGACCCCTGTCTGTGTTGAAATCGGATCTGTAGGTCCCATCGGCTGGGTCCCAGATCCAGGTCCAAGACCCAGGAGCTTCTGGAATCCAGACGTGGACTCCAATGCGGCCACTGCGCCCATTGCCATGGCCCATGGCGTACTGAACAGCCCACCGTCTCCCCTCCCCCTCTCTCTGCAGCGCCTGACTGCGAGCAGAGCCCCGAGCTGCACCCAGAGACCAAAGCACCACCGTGTTGCACACCTGAGCCTCGCTTGCCAGGCTTGCCGTGGACTGGTCTGTGCCGTGGTGGCCTCACCGTGACCCAGGTCAGCTCAGGCAGGCCCTTATCTTCCCATTACCCCCCTCTCTTTGTAAGAAACACAGTTGGGGGTTTAGCTCAGTGGTGCAAGCGCCTCTAACAGCACCAGGTCCTACACTGGACCTCCGGTACCAAAAAGAAAACAGGCAAATCCGGGTTGTATTTGCTGCTCATTCTGTTTGGCTTCAGCGTTTGGAGGGCTGGACATCCCGCTGGCTCGTTAACTGCCATCCCAGTCAGTGTCCAGCCTGCCAAAGGTCCACTCCCCATCTCCTGTTACCTGTCTGCTGTCCCTGCTTGCCCTGTGTTTACACGGGGGAGGAGCCAGCCTGGGGAAGCGCGTGTCTGACTGTTTCCCTGAACGCCGTGGTCCCGAGGCGCATCCACTGTCTGCATCGTCCATCCTTCATACCACGCCAGAGTAGCGCTCCCGTGTGGAAATGCCACACTCCCACTGTCCACTGACACAGTGGCCACGGCCACGCTCCAACTATTATGAATTGGGTGTGCGTGGATCACTGTCGTATGATGCTTTTAACTTAGAAGGTTTTGTAAGATGTACCCATCCTGCAAGCACTGAGATTCCACCTCATCCCAGAAAGAATGGCTACTGTGAAGAAATCAACCAATAACAAATGCTGGAGAGGCTGTGGGGGAAAAGAGCCTTCTCCACTGTTGGCAGGAGTGCAGACTGGTGCAGTCAGTGTGGGAATCAGCGTGGAGATTGCTAAAAAAAAACTAGGACTAGGGTAACCCACTCGGTACCCCTTCTGGCTCTCTCTCAGACAGAAGATTTATTTTGCTCAATAAACATTTCTGCTCTTAAAAAAAACTGGGACTAGGGCTGGGGATTTAGCTCAGTGGCATAAGCACCTGCCTTGCAAGCAGGCAGTCATGAGTTCGATCCCTGGTATCAATAAAAATGAAAAAGACAAAAAAAAAAAAAACTGGGACTAGAGGTCCCTTTCAACCCAGCTATTCCCCCTCTGGGTACGTTCCCAAAATAATTTAAAACATCATGTCACAGTGTTGTGTCACCCCTGTTTATAGCAGCACAATCTGTAATAGTCAGATCTTGGAAACAACCTAAATGCCCATCCACTGAGAAATGGATAAAAAAGATGTGGTATTATACAGGGAGTACTACTCAGTCGTAAAGAAGGATAAACTGGAGATTTTTACAGGTAAATGTGATGCTAAGATGCTGAAAAATTAAAATAGCTATTAACAAAAATAGTTAGTTAAAAGGATAGTTATTAGCAGTATTGTCATTCTGTGCTGTTTGTTACCCTAGTAAGCAAGCACCAACACAGAGTCATAGATTAACTGACCGCGTCATCATGCTGTTCGGTATGTGTCATCACCTTAGTAACCTGTTTGCTGTGTCAGCCATCATTCCCTTTATGAGAGACAAATGTTCCTGGAATTGGCAGACCAAGGGCTATGAATTGGCTAACCACCCCCTGTGAAATGCCTCTGACCTCAAGCAAAGGGGAACAAAGGCCCACCTTGTTTCTGTTTCTCATCACTATGTACTTAATGATCAATGAGCTAATCATAAATGAACTATAAGAATCAGTCAAAATTCTGACTCAGTCCCACAGCTTTGCAAATTCCATCTGCACCGTGTCGCTGGGCCAGTAAAATAAAAGCGCTTCTTTTAAAAGACGTCATCGCGGGGCTGGAGGTTTAGCTCAGTGGCATAAACACCTGCCTTGCAAGCAGGCAGTCGCGAGTTCGATCCCCGGTACCGATAAAAAGGAAAAAGACAAAAAAAAAAAAAAAAAAAAAAAAAAAAAAAAAAAAAAGACGTCATCGTGCCCGTTTTTCATCTCCGGGCCTTGTTTTTTGGGGGGTTACAACAGTAAACAGATGCAACTTGAGCCCCTCCTCCTAAGTGAAATAAATGAGACACACTCATAAACATCATATTGTCTCTGAAAGAGACACGCATGCGTGTGTACATGTGTAGATGTACGTGTATGTAGTCAGAAACTAGCTAAGATAGTTACAGCACTGATTTCTCTGCGTTCACGGAGAGAACCGTGTTGTTCGGACAATGAAATGCTGATGTCTTACACTCTGGGCGAATGATTTGGGGGTGACAACGCGCAATATCTGTTCCATTGCTGTCCCCGACTGACGAGCTTTGAAATTTTTAATATTTTTCTTTTGCTCCTTGAAATAAAGTGGATTTGTAAAAACCACTAAGCACCCTTCCCAGGGGTCAGGTGTGGTGACCTCTTCCTCTTCGCACGCTGGCTGTCGGAGGTGGATTTTTTCTTCTGCTTCACGTCCTAGATGGTTGTCACCCCATACGGGGAAGCCGCCCGGTGTCTGCCCCAAACACCGTACAAAAGCCTTCGCAACACTGCACATCTTTGCCAGGAACCAGACAGCGTGTGGCCGCACCGTGCCGCTCGGTACGTGTGGGCCTCCCTGTCCGTTCCGGCCCACCTGGCTCTTGCCGTGCTGTGTTCCCCTGGCCTCCAGGGGTCTCAGGTGGACCTGCCCACCGTCTGCTGCCCACCGCCTGCCTCCTGGACCTTTCCCCACCTGACCACATGCAGACGGGACACCGGGTCCAGCCGCCCTTCCTGCCGGGGACAGTCACAGTCCTCCTGGGACAGTGGGAGCCCAGGGTGACCGAGCCGCCCACCTATGGAGGCGCCAAGGGGCGCTGTGGCATGCACTCACTGTGCTGCACCCACACAGGGCATGGGAGGACCAGGACCAGAGAGAGTCCAGGGGTCAGCTCCCCAGAAGCAACAGTGAGCAGTGCCCACACAGAGGGCACCAGGCCAGGCATCTCTGTCCGGTCCCAGGTGGTCAACACGGGGGACCTTGCGACAGGAAGGTGCAGGTCGGGTGGGAGGGCTGGAGGGCCTGAGCCCTGGGTGGCAGAGCCAGCGTGTCCCAGCCTGGCTCCGGGGCCCAGCACGGGCAGCCGGCACATCCACACGGGCGCTGCCCATGCCCTGGGAGCTGGCTCTTCTGCCTCAGTTTCCCTCTGCACAGGGTGAGCATTTCCTGAACCCCCTGGGGCCTGAGTACAGAGCTGATGGCATCTTTGGAATGTCCCAGAACTACACAGGAAGCAGAGTGCGGGTCCTGATGCCACGGGGCTCAGGAGCGGCCGCAGTTACCCAGCTGTCCAGGGGTCCGGGGAGTGGACACGGATCCTGATCACCACCCTCAGACGCCAAGCAGTAGAGTGGGCTGCTCTCAAGCAGGGTGGGTGGGCACAGCGTGTGTCTCCTGAGTCCTGTCCTCCCAGCAGTGACACCCATGCCGCAGATGCCTCCCTGCCCGTCCGGCTCACAGGACACTGGGGGTCCTGGGGGTAGACTCGCGCCCCCCCCCAAGAAGCTGCCACCTCGGCCCCAGTACCACGGGACTTTTTAGTGTGTGTGGTTCTGGGGATGGAACCCCAAGCCCTTACACTGAGCTGTACCCCAGCCACCCCACGCTCTTTTATTTTGAGACAGGGTCTCACTAAATTGCCCAGGCTGAGCTAGAACCTGTGATCCTCCCGCCTCAGCCTCCCAAGTAGGGGGAGCCTACATCACTCTGCGGGCTGTGGCTGGATTTTCAGGGGGTCCGGTACTGCTGGTTGAGCTCAGAGCCGCAGACAGACAGGACAAGAGGCCTGAGGACTTCCGCCCC